AACCAATAGGGAAAATTTTCTTGATATTAAAGATCAGACTCTCTTAATCTGAAATGTGCTCAAAAGAAATAGTTTTGCCTACATCATGCATCCTGAATAGTTAGAGAGAATATTTTCAAAAGTAGAAAAGCCTGAAATAGAAATGTATCAAACGGAAGGGTGCAGAAGAAACTGGACTTTTATGCCATTTATATATTTATACAAGCAAAAAGTAAGTGCCAAGGTCCTTCGTTGTTGTGCTTGTAATGTATTTACATGCTGGTACATAGAGGAGTAATGCAGAAAAGTCAGAACTGACCATTCAAGAGGCTGCATGCATTAGTAATACTGTATATCATTCAGACATAGCCCCAAATTAAGAGATGGACAGATGTTCCAGTGAGGAAGAAAAGCTGGCAAGGGGCAAAAATCATCAGAATATGAATACCTGTGTCCCATACTTACATTACTTTCAAGTCCCAATCTCCACAGGTAACAAAAATAGACTTGACCGTGGGATCCAAAAGGCCTTCCTTTGCCATCCACTCATCAACTCTCTGAAAGAAACAGACAGAAAGGAGATGAACTTTCAGAGACATGGAAAAGAGATGCATCAGTTAAACACTGATAAGCCTTACAATCACAAGAGAAGAAAATTGTGATCTTATCCAGGACAGCGGCCTCCTTACTTCCATCTCATCCTGTCTCCCTTCTCATTTCTATGAAGGTAAGTTTGGATCTTTGAAGATTTCCAATAGGAGACATCAAGCAGCCAGTGAAGTGATGATTTTATCAGGCATCACATTTCTGCTTACAGAACGACTTCTGAAAATTAATATTGCTTGGCCATTTCCTGCATGCCCTGACCCTGTTTCAGCATCTTAACATTTAATTATTTATAAAATCATGCTAAGATTCTAAATGAGCAGGCTTAATCAGCCACACAGCAGCAGCAACAAAGCAATCCAAATAAATACTTCCTAACAATTCTTCCTTTATTATTCATTTTTGTGTTTAAGTCTTTCTATCACTAATGAACTATGGACATAGTGGCTAACAATAAGCTAAAACTAAGTTACTAATCATCATCATCACTTTAGCCATTGTCTATCTACTGCAGGATGAAGGTCCCTTTCTGCATGTTTCCAACCAATATGGTTGGAAGTTACTAATAAAATACTAAAAAAGAAGACAGCAATCTGTTCACCATACTTCTGCCTAATATTTTTCCAATAGCAAAAGGGATTAACATGACCTCCCTTAGTGCAGCTCAAGAAGGTTCATTCTCACATCTTCAGAAATTGTTCCTCCAATGAGTTTAGAATCCAGGTAGATTCTTAAGTTTGGGAAGAACGGTAAAGTTTCTCATATGACCAAGTCCAAAGATGCATAGGACCTGGAACTTTGTCTATAAACAGACCAGTAACCAAGGCATCTATATTAATAATATGGTCATGTGCTTCAAAGGCTCAGTTAATAGCCTGATTTGCAAAAATATAAAATACAGTATATCTGCAGTACAGATAGTCCTCGACTTACGACCACAATTGAGCCCAAAAATTTTGTTTCTAAGTGAAACTTGGTTGAGTGAATTTTGGCCCATTTTATGACTTTTTGTGCTACTGTTGTTAAGTGAGCCATTGCAGTTGTTCAGTTAGTTACATGGTTGCAGAGTGAATCTGGCTTCCCCATTGACTATGCTTGTCAGAAGATCACAAAAGGTGATCACATGGCCCCAGGACTCTGCAAATGTCATAAATGGGAATCAGTTGCCAAGCAATTTGTCACTGACTCAAATACTGGAACATGATTACAGGGATGCTGCAATAGTGTGAAAAATGGTCGTAAGTCTTTTTTTTTCCAGTGCCGTTGTAACTTTGAACGGTCACTAATGAACTGTTATAAGTCGAGGACTACCTATATATGTTACATTTCTAAACATTTTGAAAAGCAGCCTAAGGTATAGAATTGAACAAAACTTACAGTCCAGCTGAAAAAAAATGTGTCAATCATATTTATTTATATCTGAGCATAATGTAATTTCTATAGGCATTTATAGAAAATAAAAAATAATGAAAATAATGGGTGATTGCAGCCTTGAGATTTGTTTGAACTTGGCCCGAAAAAATAACCTAGGGAAGCTGGTGGCAGCACCAAGAGGCAGAGGGAAGAATCTTACCAGTTTATTTTACCAGCCAAATATCTATGTTGTGTAGCCATCATAGCAACTATTTCATAAACAATCAATCTTTCCCTATCAATCACTTAGTTATAACACTCACTATATTTTCTCAGAATTCCAAGCACACCACAACACTTTGCTTGATACCTCCAGAAACAATGGAATTATTATTAGCCTTAATTGTGAAAAAGAACTCCTTAACATCATGAAAACATGGATACTCATCCTCAAGATCCAATCCAGAAATAATGCAAACTTTAATTCTATATATTCAGAGGAAGCATAGTTCCATCCTTACATCCTAAAATATGATAAAATACAAGCAATAACTACAGTTTTACAGGATAGTTAAATGACTTAAAATTGCATTGAGTTGGATGATATTATTTAAATCATGAAGTTCAACCCTTTGCTCAGGGCAGAAACAGAAATGAAAGCAAACTTACACATATTTATCCAGACTTTGCTAAGATAGCTAGCAAATGAAAGAGAATCTAATGGTTACATATTTTCAATTAGATATTGAAAAGTTTTTTCTAGCATTTCGTATGAATCTAGAAACAATGGGCTGATTTACTATGAATTCCATATGATAATACTGAAAAACGATTAATCTTGCTGTAAAAACTAGGTCAAAACACACTGATATAACGTATCTGAATGTAAAGTAAAGTGTGAATAGTAAATTAGTTTCACTGGAGTACTGCATGTCTGAGGATAACATTGCAGACCACTTTACCAAAGCCCAAGGTAATATAAAATATAAACGTTGTTGCAAGGAATACAGATTAAGATTGTAAATTGTATATATTGTCCTACCCAAAGGGGGGAATGTTAGGAATATAATCTAACGGTTGGGTTGGCAATATATGTAAATCATGTAA